ACGAGTGTCTCTGGAGTAATATAGCCCATAGTTGCGAGCATGGAGATCCTTCCGTGCTTGAGCTCTGTCTGACGACGTCGCTTGAAGTCCTCAACGCTGCCGTCCGCGGTAAAACCGGCAGGGTCCCAGAAGCCCACTGGTGCCTGGACACCAAGCTCGTTCTCAAAGGCAGTGAGGACTACCTCAGACGAGCTGCACACCAAGCTCGAACGATGCTAACATGTCAACACCGGTCTGGCGCTTGTCTGTTTCCTTGCCGGTCTGGCGCGACCGTTTACCTCGAGACACCAAATCTCAGGAGTCCCGGCCAATTCCTTCTTTGTGGTCAGGGGGGTTGCCTGCACGTGCGCAGGAAAAGTGGTGATGGTGCGCTGTCGTGTTTCTTCTCCATGGAATAAGAACAAACAAACGTTTGCAGTAGGACCAACAACCACACAAGCACATCAACGAAGAAGTTGTTTACTCCGACAATGCCAACAAGCAAATTAATGCGGTGGCAACACACGGCACTGCACCAGGGCGGCAAACCAAAACAGACCGCAACAGAGAAGGCCTACACCCGAAGACTGCAATGTAAACACTTCCAAATGTGCACACAAGTCGGCCAGTCAAGAAGTTTACAAACAAATGCGAACCAACGAACGAACCGACGAACCAACCAACAAACAAACAAGCAAGCAAGCAAACAAGCAAGCAAAACGCCAATGAAGGCAAGCATAGCCAAGCGGCCAAGCACTGAAATGCACGAAGCGAGCAATCAACAAAGACACATCTCCGAGGTCTCCGCCACCAGGGTGTGACCCCCCGCCTTCCGGCCGAGCGCCGCCAGGGCGGTACCGCAAAGGGCCACGGCTGCGGCACTGGGGATCGCCTCGGGGTGTATTGGGATAGGATAACCCCGAGATCAACCGCCAGGTCAAAGAAAATAGGTCACCCTATATATTCTGGTAACTAGTACAGACCCCATGGTCTACTTCCTGATCAAAGGGGATGCAGCGCACGCTCATAGATTGTGCACATCGCAGATAAAATTGTGTCATCAAATGGCCCAGTATCCCGCAAAAGTATGGATACACACCCCGCTGTTTCCCAAGCGTAGCTATTGTCTTGATTTTGAGGGGTAGGATCCTCCAACATGCCTCTCAGGCTTCTTTCAAATCACTCAGTTCGCCAACTTCCAAAGCACTATATAGATGGCCTATCCCCAGTCCTTGCCTGAATACATTAACTTCACGCAGTTCAGAGATGATCCCCTTCGGCCGCATTGCAATCTTCACACAAACTGAAGGGGATCATCACCACGGCTATCTCAATAACTGTGTTTTCAGCACCTTGAGTCACTCAAAACAAACATTAGCGTCTATAGCATCTCGGAGATATATATTGTTCGTCGATATGATTCTATGTCGTGTCATTGGATGCCTATGAACAAACTGACCCAAGCCCCCAATCAATATCCTTTTTGTCGCCCTCCCGGCCCTCTTCCCAGGAGTCTCTTATAATCCACACCTATCCGACTAATAGCTTCTTGTTTCTACTAGTAAGGCACCTGTTACTACTAGCGATGCACTTGTTACTACTAGCTTCTTGTTTCTACTAGCTTTCTTGTTACTACTAGTAAGGCACCTGTTACTACTAGCGATGCACTTGTTACTACTAGCTTCTTTGTTACTACTAGTAAGGCACCTGTTACTACTAGCGATGCACTTGTTACTAAT